GCTAAAATTTCAAAGTTCCTAGAAGAAAAGATGTATGATGCAAATCTTACCCTCTTCGGAGAAGTGGTGAAAAATACATGACATGCTTTGGTTTTCTCTGAGTATAAACCTCCCGAGACAGGCATCTGCACTATTCATTCCTGCTCTCCTCTAGCTTGTGCTGGGGTGGATCACAGCCTGGTCAGAGTGCACTGGCCAGAAGGACCGAGGGAGGCAGGGAGACAAGAGGTCAGGAGGGCCTATGTGCTGAGCCTTTTCAAAGCCTCCTGAGCGATCCCTGCCAGCTACCGTTTGGTGACTGCATGCCCAACATCTTGCCAGAAACTTTCTACATATTCTCTCGCTGAGTCCGCACTCTGACCCTGTGGAATAGTCACCATTATTATTCCCATTTTACAGACAAGGAAACTGGACCTCAGAAAAGTTAAACAATTTGTCCCCAATCTCACAAAGCTAGTTAAGAGGTAGAATGAGGATTCAGACTCAGGTCCATCTGGCTCCAACTTACTTTGTGATTAGTCATCCTGAGCCTCAGTTTCCCATCTGTAATTTCCCCAGATCTCTAGGAGCCTACTGGGGCTGTAGAGATTGGAAGGAGCTCCGGGTAGTGCTAGATGCCTTCTTCATTGTCCCTGCCCCATGGTGCCTGGCGAGTGCAAGTTGGCTGCCCACTCTGGACACGAGGCATCCTGTGACATCATTCTTCTTGGCCCCTTTGCCTGTGGCAGGAAGTAAACCCACACAGGCAAAGAATCAAAAATCTGGCTGCTTATTCCTGCCAATATTTCTATCTTGGGTAAGCATATTTATTTTTATAATGGCAAGTTTTACCCTTGGCAATGATCACATCCAATTGCTCCCTTGGTTAAGGTGTTGGATTTACTCACCATGGCCAGTAGAATAAAACCCAAATGCCCCACTTGGCTTGGTATTCAAGGCCCTCTGCAACCTCCCCCCCACACACACACATAACCATATTTTCACAGCTGTAACCTGCCCTTTGTGCTTCAGCCACTCGAGATGGTATCTCTTCCTCTGCCTTAAATGTCTTTCTTCCCTCTCTCTGAGTATTCACATCTTAAACATCCTTCAAGGTCTGATCTGAATGGACCTGCCTCCTTCAGCAAGCCTTCTTTGTTCCCCCAGACAGAATTAAGGGGTCTGTCCTCTGGAATCCCCACAGCTGCATTTCCGTCATTCTGCTGTTAGCCATCAATGGAGTTTTTTCATATCTGCCTTTGCAACTTGACTATGAGCTCCTGCACAGCACGGGCTGTGTTATTCATTGGTTTCTTCTAGCACCTCACTCATGACCTGGTTCAGAGTAATACTTATGATGACACTATCAACAATGGTAATAATAGCTAACATTTATGGAGGGTTTAAAATGGGATTTCATTTAGTCCTCAGAATAATCTCATGAGGCACATAATGAATTTACTTTTTTTTCACAGATAAGGAAATAGGGGGTTCAGAGAGGTCCCATGGAAATGGCAGAGCTGGGATTTGAACCCAGGATGCCCAATTCCTGAGCTAACCACTCTGACCCACTGGCTCATTAGATGCGCATTAAATGTTTGTTGAAATAACAAGCAAAGGCATTAGTGAACAAGTAGGTAATATGAGAAAAAGTCTTGCAAATATAGAAAAACCATCCACTCCCTTGACTCAATCAGGGCATTTCCTAGAATCCAAGCAATAACAGTGAGCGTTCTCTTCCATCACTGGATGTCTGCCATCCTCCTGCTCAGGAAAATCCCATCGACACACTTGTTATAGAAACCACAGCAGCAGGTGTCATTCCAAACACACTCCCAAGGGATATGAGAAGACTGTCTCATCCTTTTAGGTCCAGAACAATGCTCTGACTATCCCCAGGAGGACAGGACCTTAGAGCTGCACCCAGACCAGCAGGGGTGGGTGTCTTGTGCTCATTCCCACCCTTTCACATGTACCTCCTGGGACAAATAATGGTGCTAATGTTGCTACCTAGTGTCAGAGAGCAGTATGGGCTGGATATGTTTGGAGAGAGGAAAAAAGCCAAGGGGGATGTAGGAAACCAGAGAAAGGACAGAAAGTGAGAAGGCCACAGCAGCATGGACTCCAGGCTGCAGCTGTGGGTACTACAGGAGGGGGCAGGACGAGGCCACTGCTGCAGGAATGTGGGAGACATAACTGTGTCTCTGTCCCAGAGGAGTCTTGGCTGCTGGGCAAGCCCATGGACACCATGCTTAGCTCAGGGAGTAGCCTCCTCACCTGGGCTTGGCCAGGGGTGAAAACACAGATGGGGGCCTGGCCTGCCGGCCCACTGGCAGCCACCCTGCCTTCCTGATGCTCAGAAGGAGGGGGACAAGCCCTAGAGCATCGCCTCTTCTCCCTTCTCCCCACTTGCCCCACGCAAGAAAAATTCTGGAGACACACACACACTCAGTGACAACACATACACACACATGCACGCACATGCGTAAACACACTTCTTCACATACACACACATGCATACACACATGTATTACATGGGCACACACCTGCAGACCTGCATACACACATTTTCTGTCCCACACATAAACACATACACACATGTATACAAGGGTACTTCAAAAACTTCATGGAAAAATAGAATTAAAATATAACACAAACATTTCCATGAACTTTTTGAAGTACTCTATATACACTTGCATGAACACACACACAAACACATACACATTCACACACACATTTACACATTCACACATACACACTCATGTGTGCACACACATGTATATAAGACATGCAACACGTAATTCCTGCCTCACATAAACACATACACACACCCATATACATGTGTGAACACACTTCCTCACACACAAAAACACATATGCATACACACATACATACAAATTCACACATATACACAATCACACCCATGCACACATATACAGGTGTGCACACACATGCTTTCTCTTGCATTCATAAACACATACACATACATCCCACACTCAGAAAGTGTATTAGGCTTCCAAGCACTTCAGAGCACAAGAAAATTGACGAGTCTTGTTTCTGGAGAGAAACCAGCATGTTCTGAAGGCCAGTGAGCAAGGTTCTTCTCTCTGGGGGGCAGCCAATTAACTTAATCTCTGTTCTTGTCCTTGATGGTTTTCTGGCCTTGCACATGATAGGAAAGTGGACCTTGGAACCAGGGGTCCACCAGGGGCCAGAGAACAGAGGTGCGTGGCCAAAAGGAGCAAGAAGGAGAGGAAATGCGTGTGGAGGATTTAATTTCCAGTTAGGAAGATCGAAATAATTTCCTAAAGTGATTTTGGAAGCATATGAAAGCATTTTCCTTTCTGAACTTGAGAGTGGCTCTTGAGGCTGTAACTACCTCCCCGGGTGCCCAGGAATCTGGTCCACTTTCCAGAAGAGCTGAGAACCAGTGGCAATGAGGTCTGCAGTCTCTGCCAGAACCTCGAGGGATAGGATATGAGAAGTCCCACCCGATTGGACTGAATCTGTCCATCCATCCATCCAATCGTTCGTTCATTCATTCATTCTCCCATCCAGCCTTTGATCATTTATTCACAAAATTAACATTTATTATCATCTGCTATGTGTCTGCATTAGGCCTGGCCTTGAGGGCCAGGTCCCCTGAAAGGACTTCCAGCATCTTCTTGACTATCCACTGAAAGGAAGGGATACTGGTTCCAAAGGCTCATCCTTTTCTAATTCAAATGCAAAACAGAAGATAAACCCTCTCAGGTGTGAAACTCCCTTGGCTGGAGAACAAAGCAGTAGCTAGTGCTGGGCCTGGCCCATGCCAGCTTCTCAGGAAAGACCTGCTGATTCGGGATAACTGGTACCACCTGTTTAAATGCCCTTGATGAACTCCACACTTTACATCTTTGAAAGTCTTTCATTTAGGTTTCATGGTGGAAACGAGGCTGAACAATTATGAGTGCTTTTTCTGTGACAAGTTTATGGGTATATTTTGAAGGAAGCAAACATATGCCTATTAAGCATGGGGAGAATTATCAGTGAATGTTTTTAAATGACCAATAAAAATGAAATTATCATTGCTCATTGTTTTTTATGGATCATAATGTGTTTGTTTCTTATGGATATATCCAACAAACTCCCTTCCTAGACACCGGCCGCTAATTACGTAGTTAGCACACAGTAATACATGCAAGTGGGTTCTCGCCTGTCATAATTCATCTTCATAAATGTAATTGGCCCAATGAAAGAGACCACAAAATAATGCTGCAAAGAGAAGATGGATTCAATAAGAACTGATTTTACTCTTTTCTTTTGCAAAACTACAAGCCTGAGATAGAAGTTTTTAAGAACATATTAGATATTTTTCCCCATATTGCCACCCCTACCCCAATTTGTTACTTAACTACTTATTGCTCTATTCAAATCATTGCTTAAACTGGAGTAAATGAAACTTGAAACAAACTCCCCACTGCAAGGAACTGGGGAAGTAGAGTATATAGGCAGCTGGCAGAAATAATGGTGATACAAGGTGGACAGTAATCAACGCACTGGAGAAAGGGCTCAAGGAGTTCAGTGGCAAAGTAATTGCTTCCTGCTGGGGAATCAGGGAAGGCTTCATAGAAGAAGTGGCATTTGAGCTGAACTTTGAATAATGAAGGGATGGGGGGCAGGTGGAGAGGTCAGTAGCCAATGTGAGGGGCTAAGGCACAGAGGTAGGTTCGTTCAGACTAGCATGCGAGCAATTTTAGTGGAGTGTAGGCAGGTAAAGTGTTGTGAGAGATGGAGTGGAAAGATGGGTTGAAGGTTGCTATGAAGTAGGGGAAGTATATTTTATATTTTTTTAGATCAAGGCTGTGCCTCCCTTCCCTTTGCATATGCAATAAATATTAACTGGGTGCAGTCCATAAAACACACCCACTACTTGCCAGACCCTCTGCTGGGGTTGGTTATGTAGGAGACCCAGATGATTTAGGTACAAAGCCTACCCCCAGGAACTCAGAGGAGGGTAGAAATGATGATGTGGCCAATGCTGGCTTGAACTTGTATCCACATTTATTATTGGGGGACAGGGGGTGTCACTGTTCACATGTGGCAGTTGATCCCAAATGAACTCACTACCCATATTCCATATCACAGCAGGATTGTCAGCGCAAAGCTCTAGTCGTTTCCGAGGCAAAAGATGTTTGGATCATTTGCTGCCAAATTCTTCTGCTTCTCTAGCCAACATTTTCCTCCTTGAAAATTTGAATAGGCCTGGAAAAGACAGTAAGAAGCAATAGTCAGGGAGATAGGAGGGAAATGCAAATGAGAATCATAATGCAGAATCTAAGAGAATGGGGAATTTCAGGAAGGAAGAAATTGGCAGTGTCGTTGGCTGTAGGCAATTAAAATAAGAGAAGTCTGGTAAGTGTCCATTGCATTTAGCATGGAGAAAATCACTGATGACTGGAGAGAGCAGGGGGCAGAGGGCCAGGGGCAGTGGGAGGAGGCGGTAGCTGATCTGGGTGCTGAAGTCATACGGCTGGTGCAGGTGTGTAGCCAATGCCCACCATCCACACCTACACTTAGCTTTTTGGGTCTCTCTCATCAACAGACCTAATAACTCTCAGGAAATTATATCTTTCTGCTTTTTTACAGAGTGCATTATGTGCTACTATGAGTCTACCCTTCCGTGGGACTAAAATTCCAACTCAGTAACCTAGATGCAGCCCAGATTCTTCCCCTTCTCTCTCCACTCCAACTTCTGCTTATTCTCTCTGCTTATCACCTCACTTTCTGTTTCCTCCTCTTTATCCCCATGGCTTCCTTTGTGGTAGATTGAATTTTTGGCTCCAGCTCTTCGCTACTTTGTGATAGAATTACTTGCACACTCTTTCCATGGCCTGGGGTGTAAGAGTATACTTCTCCCTCCTCGATTTCTGGGTTGACCATATGACTCATTTGGGCTGATGAGATGTTATTGAAATGGTGCAAGTAGAGGCTTGTGATGTTCTTGTGCAATTGAGTTTGCTCTTTCAGCACTGCAGTGATACACCATGAGAAGATTATGGGCCACGTAGATGTTGCCACTTCAGACTGGACCCCAGAAGAAACATGTGAAATCAACCTGGCCATGCCCAGCCAACCTGTACCCTAAAGCAGTGTCACTCACCTGAGCCCAGCCTAGATCAGCCATAATCAACCTACAGACCTATAATCATATGAATAAATACTTATTATTTTAAGCCACTGTGTTTGGGGTTGGTTTGTTATGCAGCATTACCACAGCATCAGCTGACTGATACAATGTCACTAATTCAAGTTTTCTACTATCACTTCTTTCATGTTGAACTGCTGTACAGACTGTTAGACAATCCCAATCATCACTGTAAACCAGGAAGACTGCCCCTCAGAGTTGTTTGACATTTCTTCCAGAAGGCTTATTCTTTCATTCATTCATTTGTTCATACAATCAATAAATGGTTACTTGTGCTAAGCCTTAGCAAGGGCACTGGGGTCAAGGAAAGTGTGGCTATAAATTAGAACAAGACACATTCCATCTTTTCAAGTGAGAGTGAAAGATGTGTATGCAAATAATGACATCCCAAGGTACCTGCCATATTTCTTATCCTAAAGTAAACCAAGTGGAGGTAAAATAATCATTCTTGCAAATGCCTTTGTTTATACTTAAAAGCAATTATCTGTGGATGTTTTAAAAAATAAAATCTATAGTAATTATGAGCTTGCCTTTTTCTTTTTCACATATCACATGAGCCAGTGAGGAAGTGGAATGCAAGACGGTCTTACCATATGTCAATATCAAATACATTTTCCTTTAAAGTGTGCTTTGTGCATCCTTCTGGAAGATGGGGAATGAAATGCACTTGTAAACAGGCAGAAATGATTCATGGGATCATGATTGCTTTTCATCAGCTGCATCAATTATATACAGCGACGGGACTTGGTGAAATACATTTACAACTTGTTTAAAACACTCCTTGAAACAATTCAGACCTTGTTAAGTCCTGGTGTGCTCAGCCAAGCATGGCTGGGCTGGCAGTCCACAGAACTTGGTCCGAGCTGAACAAGCTCAAGCTGAGTTTGGCCAAGAGAAATGAAGTGCCAGGGTGAAGACTCCTTCCGATCTCTCTTTCCGTTGTCATGAGAAGGAGGACAGAGAAGCCAGATACGGGATGAGTACAGATTTTTACTAGATTGTCAGGAAACCATCCAAATAATCATCAAGCCGATTAACGATACTATGCCAGGTGATGGGGATACAGGTATACAAGTAAAACGTAAATACATGGTCCTGCCCTCAGGTTGCTTATGGTCTCGTAGAAAATAAACATAACATCGCCAGCTCCTTCATCTACTAACTAGGTGATCTTTAAAAAAAGTGCTTAACTTCCCTGTTTCTCAAGTCCCTCATTCATAAGGCTACATTAATAGTAATAACTACAGGGGCCGGCCCGGTGGCGCACTGGATAGTGCGCCGCTTGGGAGGCACGGCGGCGCTCCCGCCCGAGGGTTCAGATCCCACATACAGACCGGTTCCCGCTCACTGGTTGCACGAGGCGCGGGAGCAACACCGAGGGGTGCAATCCCGTTGCCGGTCCTCGGGCCGGGACGGGGGCAACACTGAGTGTTGCGATCCGATGCCGGACACGGAAAAAGACAAAAGACGAAAAAAAAAAAAATAGTAATAACTACAGGGGCCGGCCCGGTGGCGCACTGGATAGTGCGCCGCTTGGGAGGCACGGCGGCGCTCCCGCCCGAGGGTTCAGATCCCACATACAGACCGGTTCCCGCTCACTGGTTGCACGAGGCGCGGGAGCAACACCGAGGGGTGCAATCCCGTTGCCGGTCCTCGGGCCGGGACGGGGGCAACACTGAGTGTTGCGATCCGATGCCGGACACGGAAAAAGACAAAAGACAAAAAAAAAAAAAAAAATAGTAATAACTACAACATAGGAACATTGTGAGAATTAAATACATTAATACATGTTATGGCTGATACAGCTAGTTGCCGACACAATATCCATGACACCACTGGGGTAGGAATGCACCCTGACAAAATGCTTACCTCCCCAGACCCCCTTGCTGAGAAGAGTGGCCACGTGTCTCAGTTCTGGGCAGTGAGAAGCAGGTAGAAGTCTTGTTGAGGGCATCCCTTCCTGAATAGAAGGACAAAGGTGCATGAAAGCAACTTTGTCTTTATCTGCTGGCCAGAAACACACACGGAAGAGCCAGCCAACGTGAGACCACGAGGGTGAAACCACATGCTCGGGCTGATGGAGTGGGAAGCTGGAAAGGACTTGACTCCCAAATGACATCCTTGGACACCTGTGTAAAGTCTATTCCACTTACTTCCCGATTTTTGTCATGGGAGGAATAGTTCTTGCTCAAGCCACTTTCTTGCTTAAGCTCCTCTTTGGGGGCAGGTGCATTTCCTGTACTAAACAGGTAGACACATCCCTAAATGAGAACATGTGAAGAGCCCGGCATGCAGAGAGCACTCAGTAAGTACCACTGGCGATGCTGGTGTTGTGACCAGGCAGTGTGATGAGGGGAACATAGCAGGCTGTCAGACCACTTAGGAGGAATTCTAATCCATATCAGATGGAAAATTCTTGGAGAAAGAGACATCCAAGCAGAGATATCTGCAATGTCACGGGGGGTGGGTGCTGTCAATTCTAACTTTTAAATGTCTTTTCAAATTGTCCCTCCTCTCATCCCCACTGTCCCCCCATTTCACAGAAGCTCCACCTTGTATGTTCCAATAGGCTCTCAACAGGCCTCCTACATTCAGTCTTACCCAGACCGTCTTCCATTCTTGTTTACAGAGAAATGCTCCTAAAAGAGGACTGATCATATCACACCTCCAGGTGAAAATTCCTGAGAGTGACCCCTCAACTTCACAGAACTTCTCAAAGTCTCCATTAAAGGGCCCCTCAGCAACAAATCTGCATCTCCAAGGGGGCTGCAGCAAGGTACAAAATTTATTTGAACTTTTCCAATCCAATCCTAAAACATTATGTAATTTTTGTTTTTATTTTGTAATATATGAGTATTCTTGTCGGTTTTAATACGAAAATGTTTTCACTTACTTCCTAGTAAGCTTAATTCATGTTCCAGGAAAACGGGCAATCTTTAACCAGTGGTTCTGGACACTGTCCTGCATACTGCTCTGTCCCTCAGAGGGCATGCCAGAGCTCCCTGTCTGGCACCACAGTGGTACCTACTTGTCCTCCCGTGATACCTCCTTACCCTTCCACATGCCAAGCCTTCCTCACCGAATGTCCTTTTTCCCTGGCTGTTTGGCCATCTCCTATGCATGTCCCCATGTTACAGCAGCCACCACATCACAGTTCGAGCATTGGTTAAAGAGTCTCCAATCTCTTATTGTGAATCTTTCAAGGGCAAGGGCTGAATTTGATTCATCACTGAAAGCTTTCTATTTACTATGTGTAACAAATTACCCCAAAACCTAGAGGCTTCAAAACTATAATTCTATTCTGCTTACAACTACGTGGGTCAAGAATTCAGGAAGGGCTCAGCTGAGCAGTCTCTCATGCAGTTTGTGGTCACATAACAATTGGGGCTGCAGTCATCTGAAGTAAAGGCTCAACTGGGCTGGAAAGTCCAGGGTGACTCCCTCACATGGCTGGCAGTCAACGGTGGCTGTCAGCTGGGAGTGCAGAAGGTGTGGTTGACTAGATTGGAGCATCCAACCACATCCCAATGGTTACAAGTGAGTCACAGGCCAACACGGGTCCAGCAGTGGAGAATTTAGACTCCTCTTCTTGAAGGAGTCACATTATAGAAGACCCTGTGGGGTGGAAGCCGTTGTCGCAGTTCTCTTTGGAAAATGCTGCCCGCCATTGTAAGCATCCCAGCATTTAACCCAGTGCGTGGTAAATAGATGGTATCCACATGTTCTGAGAATTGCCACCATTGCCAGGATGAGATTTTCACGTGGAAGGCAAGTAAAATCTCTCTTTTCCAAAACCTTCTCTCTAGGACCCACTCTGCTTCTCCCCACCTGAGGATGACGGTAGAGGCCGAGAGAGGCAGAAAGACCAAAAGATGGAGGGGTGTGGGGTGGAAGATTTTCAGCTCCTGGGAAGGTGAGAAATAAATTCCTCTAGCTTGGTATTTCCTACTCCCACCAAGCTCCAGGTTTTCTTCCCCACCCCAGATAGGAAATGGAGTGGTTGGGATTCATTTTGAACACAGATTAATAGTCAGTGAAAGAAATGTAAATCAAGCTT